GCTTGCTTGGGAAAAAAGCAAAAGAGCACAGCTTGAAAATGAACTGAAAATGTCACAGCGCTTGAAGGAGATTGAGGAGGCGCGTCGAGGAGTACAGACGTCCTGTGTTATTATGTAGTAAATCGATGTTTCTTCTTGTCTATTTTGCGACAACAGATATCTTGTAAGAATCAGCAGTAAAGAATTGTTATTTGAAATTAGCAGTCGTAGATAAGCTCCTTTTCAAAACAACGACTGAAGAATCTATCGAGGGGGGCTCCAAATACTAGCTCCTTGTTCAATGAGAGCAGCGCTTGCCACAGTGGGTGGTGATTACACGTGAAAAGCGAGCAACTAGAGGATTACGTAAATAATCGGCGAGCTACTCGCGGTCCAGCAGCAATCAGCACTTCAACTGAGTCTAACAAGGTCTCAGTGCTGATTGCTGAAGTAATCCAACTTCAGCCTCGGTCTCGAGCAAAGCTCTCGTCCTCGGCCTCAGTTGGATTACTTGTATAGCGCTCGACCGCACATAATTTTCTCCTTAAGGAACGTTTTCGAAGGTTTTCCAGAGTACGGATCAGATTACATACGGATTACACGTAAGCGGCGAGTACCTCGCCGATTATATCACATACTGAACGTGATCACTATGACCTTCTTGGTTTTATGTCCCCTTTTTCAGCAATGACCATCGACAACGTGTACGTAGAATCCATCGATTTTCGCCTCGTTCTACAGTACTTGAAAAATATCAAGTTTAAGTTTTTAGAGTTGATTTATCGGCAAAACAATKATAAAAGACGAAATAGAACCGTATCCTCCACTACCTTGAATGTTGATTCTACACTTCAGAAGCATAGTAATTTTAAAAAATTAAAAACAAAGGTGATATCGTCAAGAAGTTTGTCGGAAACAGAAACGACCACGACRGATCCTACTAACCAGTAATGTACTACCGTACGGTACTCGTACTGCTTCCAACCTTCGAYTTCCGCCRTGAATTTTTTCCACTGCATGCAGGAAGTAGTAGAAGTATTTGTTTTGAGACAACTTGGGAATGCGGAATTYTGGTTGATAAYCAAAAGTAATTACAGTGTGATCAAGGTTACTTGATTTGTTRATTTGTCGCAAATAGCAACTCGCGGAGGAATCGATTGATTCTGGTCAACGCCTCCCGAAAAGTTTTGAAAACGGTGGAATTCACCCCGTTGAACCAGAAGCAAATTTGGTTTGATTTGAAAGTGAAAATTATTGAATACAGGACTATTGTTTGAGTGAAGAAAAATGGAGTTGTCACACCCCGAGACTTGCGGTCAGCTAGATCCTGGAAAATCATCTGAAAGAAACGTTCAACTAGCACAGAACGAGACATCTGTGTCCACAGAAAAACATGACAGTGGCGCACCTCCTCTTGAAATCGTGGATGTCGAGAGAAATTCCACCCCGAACAAGAATGACACTGGTAACACTTCCATCCAAATTCCTAGAAGACACTCCGCTCGGAAGAGGTTGTCTATAGAATATCGAAAATTGGCACAAGAGTCATTGTTGAAGCCTAAATATGCATTATCGACTCARGAAATAAATGACGCGAGTTCCGTAATGATCGATGATGATAAATCAAGGTCTAGTCAATTAAGAGCACACTCCTTTAACATGGAGGATGACGTGTTGCGAAAGTTCTGCCTCAATCCAAAATTCACTCTCAGAAAGCAAATGATGAACTCGTTTGGAAGTTTGAGTGTCTGCACTATCATCGTGGTTGTAGYTATATGCGTAGCGATGGCGCAATGGATCGACGTTCACACAAAGTCTTTGCTAAAGTACGACTACATCGAGAAGTTGGCGGACACAATCKACGATAAACAGAAATATCTTGCAGATGTATTCRGTGAGGAATTCTTTTTATTCGATACAGCTAAACTCGTTCATGATGTCGTCCAGGACAGATTTGATGGTTACCCAAACCTTAGCGATGATGGTGTACCTTTTCTCGATATGAAATCAAAGACAAATATATACCCAATCGCCGCTGACCCGATGCCATTTTTGTGGAATCTTCAACCAAATGTCAACGAAGATAATCACGGGGAGTTTCTTCAAAGGCGATGGGAGTACTTCAAAGACAAAYCTGTTGACACTACCAAGGCGGGTTTCTACATTCCGCTCTCGTGTAACCCCTACGCACCTATTGTGAACGGATCTGTRACTGTAACAAATTGTACAGAATCCGATTTTGACGTGCAAAGAGGAGGAGGCACTATTAATAACAAGACCGAGATGTATCTTCGAAAAGGAAGTGATTTGGTGCCAATATTGAGAGGTTTGTTCGAAATTAGGGAGGAAATTCTTGAGATTTACATYCATTTCCCCAATGACGGAACGGGAGCTGGTGTCCTTTACCCTCAGTATTTTCCTGTTTTCGGYAATTATACTTCAGAAGGCTGCGACTGGTTACTTCARGCAAATCCATACAACGCCTCTAAGACAATCGGCACTGAAAGTATGGTCGAGAATTGTCGAAAGAAGGGAGCTATTGTACMMTATCACTCATACAATGCGTTGGAACGAGGATGGTGCCAAGAGCAGGCACTGAATCCAGGTAAGATGTTCATAGATTACAGATCGGGTAGGCTTCGTCCAGATAATGATGAGGTGATTCAAATCGGCACTTCTATTTATGACAGAACCTCCAAGGAATTCCTTGCGTGCATGTATATTGGGATTGATGTAAATCAAATACAGCGTTTGCTGGAACTATCTGAGACTCAATATGAGGATATCGCTCTGCTGATCGAGTATGGTCAAAAAGGAAACATCGTYGCGTCATCCTTCGAGAATTTCACCCTCGGAGCAACGAAAACTTCAATTTATGATGAGCCTGGGTTTGAAATGAYGGAGGAGAAATATACAGAATTATACAATATTGTTGATTTCGACTCTGTTTGGGACCCAGATGAGGTTTCAAAAGCATACAAAAAATTTTCTATGACTGAGGGAACGGGAAAGAAATATATTATGTCTATTGCACCGTTGCCGAGCATTCCAAGTGAATATGACAAATCCTATCGGCCAAAATTCTTTTTCGTTGCATACTTCTACAAGGAGAAGTTTCAAGATGAAGTTGTCAACATACGTGAGGTGATCGACCAAAATATAATAAATGGCATTTTGTGTGCCATAGTGATGGGTGCATGTGGTATTGTGATTGCTGTCATAATTATTTTCTTCATGGCATATATACTGACAACCCCTCTTACAAACATGAACGACATGGCGAGTGACATTGTAGACAGTGTCGGTGATCCGAAGAAAGAGGAYGAAATCAAGAATAGTAAAAGTAAYGAGTTAGTGATTTCAAGATGCACTCCAAAGACCGAGCTTGCTGACGTGGTATGCGAATTTAACAAGATGGTTGAGTCTTTCAGTGGGGCTTCTGAAGCTAAGTCCGAGAAGGAAAGAGACGAGGACATGTTGAATATCTTCCCTGCTAGAAATGATTTGTTTGAGCTTTACAAAAGCCGGAGTGATAAAACKTTCAAGTATAACATTACGGGAGAACGCGTTCGGAGCCGCAGCGACAATTTCCATATCTCTTACATGCACCTTGGAGGAAATTATAATGAGTCACCTCCGGTGGAAGAAAAACTTGATACAAATGAAGAAACCGAGGTCTTGCGTGCAGAATCTAGAAAATCGTCCAGATTGTTTCTTTGGATTCTTCTTCTCATTGTTGCCCCTATAATACTTATTCCAATTGCCATTTCAGTTGGTGTCATCACCACTATACGGATAAGTTATGAAGGTATCGATGACGCGATACTAGATTTGACCATTGATGTGGCCRAAAAGCAGACAGAAGCCGTAACTAGGCTTCGCTCGGAATATGTATCAAAGCTTACAGAAAGGTCTACGAGGGACCTATCTCTCCTTTCTAGATACTCAAGCTGGTTACTCTTCGGCGGTTTGAAGCAGTCGAATTCGTTTACTCAGGTTGATTCAGTTGTTGAAGATTGCAAAGAGTTTGGTGGAAATTTTTCTCAATGCAAAAGTGACGGGAAGATAGATTTTGTATGTGATTGCAAATGGCAGGAGAGAGGCTACGAAAAAATGTGTACTAATTACACAGAATCTATCCGTGGGAGACAAATGAATTACTGGAGTGCTCAGCTGAGCAAAAATGAAAATGGCGATCTTTTTACGTCGAACTTTCCTGACTCATCAATCTCTCCACAAACAACAAATTGGTGGGACAATGCAATGGAGTTGCCAGGATATCAAAATGAATCTTCAACTTCAGGGTATAGCACATCTTATAAAAGATTGAAAGTCCTTTCAGCTGTTCCAATTTTCCAGGTTTTAAAAAACTATAGATCCGGCAAAAGCCCACAGGCGACACTCCACACTTCGGTGTCATTCGAAGCTGATGGCATGATSATTGGTAATAGYGGGTGTGGATCTGCGATTGGAAATGCTGCCTATTCGAATTGGACGTCGACTACTGAAAACAATGGGGCCGATCTCAGACCCAAGCTGTGCCCAGTTGGAAAGTATGGCTACGACCCACGGTAAGTACAGATGATGGCATTTCATGCTTARCCATTCCATATTGTCACTTATATCAGCATTTTTCACTCCGTTTATTTTCAGGTGCCGAGAATGGTATAATGCGGGGAGAAATCAAGCTTTGTTGAACCAAAGTAATGTGTTGCATATCACGACACCATATTATTTTGGAATCAACAATGAAAATCAAATTTACGGGCAAAGTGCGACTTATGCAATCTTGGACCCTCGCAATGGTGAACATGTAGGACAAACATTGATTGATTTTGCCAACGATTTTGTCAGTACAATGTTGTCGAAMCAAACAGTGACTTTAGGGAAAGGGCAACCGATCCTGATAACAGTAAATGATGAGTATGGAGATACTATTCTTGGTCCGGGTGAACCACTAGGCCTAGCATCCAAGCCCATCGCAGAAAGTGTGATGCCGTTTGACGTTCAGTGTATCGACGAAAAACAATGCGAGAGAAGGCTCAGTGTATTTAATGACATTGTCAACAAAATGAAATCGGGTGAAGAAGGYAGTCGAGATTTCTTTCGAAAGACAGAAAATGGGGATAATGAAAGAATGATTTTACATTACGCACCTGTGAACATCCCATTTGTGTACCCAGTCAACAGCTCAGATTACGCAACAGGGGTTGAGAAGAAGAATTTTCAACTGTATTCGCTTGGCTTCCTTGTGCGAGAAGATGATCTGAGACATGAAACTGATGACGTTGCAAAGAAGCTTGACAAGCACATCAACGTTGGGACCGCTATCATCACCATTGTAATTATCATTGCAGCAGCAACAAGCATTTACATGTCTCATAGGCTCGCTATATCATTCTCGGCAACGATGCGCCATCTCCTTGGTCTGCTTTGCTATATCAACACGTAAGACTGATACAATACAAAATTCCGAAGCGTTTGGCTCGTACACCGCAATTCTGAAACTCATATCGCGACGACTCATAAACTTATTCCTTTTTATTCTTTAGCCATGACGACAAAGAAAGCCCTCTTCCTCCCCAAGGTATAAGGCCAACTTTTGAGACTGTTGTACTTTCGAGGACGCTCGTGACGCTACATCGTATCATTAAGTTGGCAAATACTGCCTTCTTTGCTGGAGATCTTGGTTCTGCATATCGAGTRTTGATTGATGCACTAAGGCTCTTTCGTAGACTCGATAATACGAAAGCCGTGGGGGTCGCGTCAAATAATCTTGGGAATACACTCTTAAGTATTTATCGAGAAATGAAGATGCTTCAGGTAAATGAATTATACAACTTGACGGTAAATGATGTAATAAGCCAAGGTATTGCTTACTTCCACACTGCCATCACACTTGGAGAGAAAACCTACGATAACTTTTACGACCTCCAAGGCTGGACTCCAAGCTGTCTAAACTTTATGCAGCATTTAGCCAATAGATATTTTAACCGCGGAATGTTCTTGTTGCTCACAAAGGATGATCACSATGACCCTAGTGAAATTGAACGACTGGGAATGCGGGACCTTCAAATCGCTGACGATATGGACCAAGAAGTTGTTGCCTATGGAGAAGATATTGGTTGGGGGGCTAGCGAGAGAATCGCAAGTCGCTTCAACGTCAATATTACTCGAATACAGGGCTACAACGTCCTTTGTCAAGAAGGATATCATCACGAAGAACACGATTGGGGAATAGAAGAATTGATACAGGATACGATTAGTATACTAAGGGTCGAGTACAAGAAAATCAATTCCAACTTGTTCTCCGATATGACCCGCTTCGGAAGGCTTCAAATGCTTGAAGTGCAACTAATACAGTATAGGCTTCTGCAGGAAGATTTTGAAACGGCAGCAAAAATTGCGGTGCGTATGATAATAGAGGACGAGTACGTCTTCGTTAACGCAATGAAGCAAGCAGTGAAGGCCYTCATGAAGTACACTGAAAGTCATMTAGTAGATGCAGACTTTAGAGAGAAGATGATGCCGGTTTTCAAAGAATACTTGGAAGACGTCGGTCGAATTGGAGCTGAAAACAGAAAAGAGTTGATTCTTGGTTACTCGGAAACAAATCCATTGATTTCAACGCACGATCTAACCATGAGCTCGCACCGATGGAATTTTCCCAACAGTCCCACATCTGTTGGTCAGTCAGACGTTCAAGACGAATTGGACATTTTTGTCACGATGGAAGATTTTTGAGTTTGTGGTGACAGTATCGTTTTCACGTCTTTAAAAAATACGATCATAATCTGACGCAAAAAGAACGCTTTGAAAAAAATAAGATCATCGTCTTACACAAAAAGAACGCTGCTCATTTCATTCTCTTCTGTTTGCCGTATGAGGTTTCTGTTTTGTTGTTCTGTCACAAACARATGTATCTTTCCTATCTTATTCTTCTAAACCCAGTGAGGTATTCAACCGGCAATGTGTTCGAACGAGAAAAGCTTCCGCAGCACCTGCGTTGAAATGTACAGAGTGGTATGAAGAGAAACAACTGTCTCTTTTTGCWACACAAAACAACGCAATCAATCATGGTTATTAGAGAACAATAAATGGAGCTGCACTGAGGTGGATCAGTCACGCACATCACGGCGACTATGTTRTACCGAGAAATAAACCATAATGTTATTGCTTTATTTGCTAAGCTCTCCGAGCTTGTTCTTAATAGCACACATCTGCAACGAATCCCGTACTTGCTTGCATTGTTTGGCGTAATCGTAGATATTGTTTCCGTTGCAAGCAATTAAATCCTCGAATAAGCCGTTGCACTCTCCACTTCTGACAGCCATATAGGATTCCGTAACGCGAGCTCGATACTGGAATCCGATAGCACCGGTGAAAAATCCGACMGGGACATTATTMAGGGAAATGTAATGCAAAACAATCGTGATGAGAAGGAATATGAATGATGCTTCCATTCTGGAGTGCAAGGGAAGCTTCYATGCGCAGAGTAAAACGATATGCACGGCAAGACAAATCTGACATTCTCTACAACATAACATTCCCCATGCCTTCGGAAAATACCAGWGCCATGTGATGTGATACCGTGTTCTCCGCAATTTTTTCAAACACTTACCTCGGCTCCAGCAGTATCCGCAACAACGGGATGGCCGTATCTCGACTTGACTTCGTCGTATTCCGACTTCGAATCGGCGCACGTGATCTCWATCACCTGTGGGATGGAAAAACAAACAAATGCGKAGTGRTTTGAAGCAGCAATGTATCGATGGTTAGTACGYAWTTTGGCAAATAAATATCGGTTTGCAACGTCAATGCAATAGCAATGGCACTGTCAGAGAACACGACGGAATGTCGAAAAAATTCTCTTTCTTCGGCACCTTATTCGAACATGGAGTTTCAAYCCGACTGCTGTCCCAAAGYCCGACCAGATCCGACCCACACCGACGCGTCCCAACATGGTACTGCATAACTTACTGGATGCAGTGCCTTCAACTCGGCACGAGAAGCAGGGAAGATGGGATTGGAAGACATCATCACACACACTCGCAGTTACAATTGGTCTATTGCTCTCGCCTGTTGATGTCGAAGGCTTCGTTGTTTTAGTTAGCAACTGTACCTGGACTGTCGCCGTCCTACTCACGAGCGCCAGCGACTCGACTAGCACGTTACTTGGTACGTACTTACCTACAGGTATCGTCCGGCACAGCGTTTGTGCGTTGCCAAGTAACGCAATAAAGCTATCTTAGTACTGTGGGATGCATACGTACGGTACGTATGAGCGCAAATGTACAGTACTCGAATCCGAATCAGGGGTCATCTTCGATTCATATGATATTAGGGTATCTACGTATCATATTTTCATATGAGTATGACAAAACTTCTGTTTGAATACGAGTACGAGTACTGTACCTACCGTACCGTACGGGAATCCATCGATCCCATCCGTCGKCACCATTCATTCTCGAAACGAGCAGAAGAAAACTTGCGGTGGTCCCGTTATGAACTCGAAGAATGAGAACGAGTAAGGTATGAGTTACCTGGACTGTACTCGAAGTACAGTKCAGTACCAAGTAGGGACGAGCATGTATCATGTTTTCTTTCACATCTGAAATCTATGTCAACTCAGATTACACAAGAYCACGAAAGTCCAAAAGAATCAATACCGACAACACAACCGAGGTACATATAAAACTATAGGCGACATAAACAGCACAAATAGAAGACGCATTATGACGCAGACTATCACTGAAAAGCAAAAGAGAAAGGAAGAAGGAAAACGAATAAAACGCCAGAGGATCGAGGAAGCCGGCGGCGTACGACCTAGAGACAACATCGACGGCAAGAAAAAGAAAAAGTCTTCTTCCGCAGAAGYTATCGAATCAAAACCACGCACTCAAAATGGAAGCGACTACATCCCGTCGTTCAAAAAGAACAATAGCAACAACGACAGCTATGGGCGTACCTATGATCGCAACTTTGGTACCAACAGAGTGCAACCTGCGAAACATCGATTCGGACGAGTGATGGAAAAAGTTCCTTGCAGAAACAAACCTCGTTTCTCGACGCTTAGCATTGCTCTTCCGGGAAGTGTTCTTTCAAACTGCCAAACAAGAGAGCTRCGAACGCTGCTMGTGGGGAATATCGCTCGTGCCGCAACAATWTACCACGTTGACGAAATTATTGTGTTTGATGACAAATTAGGGAAAATGAATAAAAATTACCAGAACAATCGCAATGGAGGCTGGAGGGRTTTCAAGCGCCGCAAGCACGATCACGATGCGCACGGTCGAGAGGGAGACAAAGAGAAGGAAGATAAGCAAGACGAATCCACGGAGAAGAAAACAGAGGGAGACGATTCGGAAAGGGGTGAAAGRTTCGAACATCGACCACGATCTACGCACGAAGAATTCATGGCTCGGCTCTTGCAATATTGCGAATGTCCACAATACCTGCGTCGATGCTTCTTCCCTATGCATCCCGATCTACAATTTGCCGGCCTCTTGGCTCCCATCGATGCTCCGCATCACGTCCGAGCGGAGGACCGTAGCAAATACCGAGAAGGAATAGTGATGAAAAAATGCAGTCCTAGCGGAAACTCTTTTGTAAATTGTGGCATCCGAAATCGTCCGGTGGAGTAAGTGGATCTATAGAACTTGTTGGAATTTGCATCTTTTTCTCGGAATTGGTATCTTGTTTTGTGATATTTTGAATATATATATATATATCTAACTGTGCAAAACAATCATTTGCTCTCTAGGATCGACCGAAAAATCACTCCTGGCATTCGATGCACCGTTCAGATTGATCCCGCTGCGTATGGAAAAGCATCCCAAATCAGAGGAACTGTCGTAGCCCCTTCGGCTCCCAGAGAAGATGATGGGACCTATTGGGGATTCACGACGCGAATGGCAGACTCAATCAATGGCGTTTTCGARAATTGTCCGTTCTCGGATGCTGGATACGACCTGAAAATTGGTACAAGCGAGCGAGGGAGCAAGTCGGTAGAAGACAAGAGCTTTGGACTCCCCAAGTTTCGTCATTCGTTGCTTGTCTTTGGTGGTGTAGCAGGAATCGAGGAATGCGTTGACGCCGACGAGTCCATTAAAATCCCCGGATCGTCTTCCTCGAAGCTGTTTGATCTCTGGCTGAACACCTGCCCCTTCCAGGGAAGCAGAACCATCCGAACAGAAGAGGCCGTAATGATTAGTCTAGCAAAAATCAATCCATTTCTAATGAAATCTTCCAGCGATAAGGCGATGCCCGACGAAAGCCAAGAGGAAGATGACGAATTTAGCGATGAATCCCCTTCCGACGAAAGTAGCGACGAAGAAGMAGTGTCATCAGAGGAAGAGTAGGGGTGACGATGGCGTTGAAAGAACGAGAAGTGCGTTTAGTATGATTTTAGTACTACTGGATTAGACCTCTCTGATCTSAATGCTTTCTCCAGAGCAACCTTGCCTAGTAACTCTTTTATTTGATTCAAACTCACCGTGGTTCTCAAGTTCTAATAGAAGGGCTTGTTTTACAGTCGACCTTTCCGTATTCTGGTGTCTCTTCCTAAATATTTATGAATCTTGTTCTGAGTACATCTTGGGACATCCAAAATGATTGAAGATCATCTGTGTTGGTGAAAAAGATCCCATCGGTTGGTAGTTGCTCTTCAGCAGCAGAGCTATTGCATAGTACTGTCCTCGACATTTCTTGATTTATGCTGCTAGTTATTTGTTCAAAAAACAATAAGCAAGAACAAGAAGAGGTCGATAAGAAACTTCCTCTTCTTGACGAGGAGGAGTGTTTAAGAAGAAGAAATAACAAGAAGCAGAATCGTTACGAAGAATAAGAAGAAGCTAGTAGTAGTACTAGTAGTAGTAGCTATGTAAATGCAGTGGTTTTGTACGTCAAGGACGCTAACTTTCGGTAAATGTCGAGAACATTCGAGTCTGCGTCCACATGCAATGTTATGAAATTCGTATTACCCTTCTACTAGGTAGTTCTTTTAATAATAGCTACTACTASTGCAAGCAATAATAGCAATGGAGTTACTTCCAATAATTAACTACGACTAGTTTTTTCCGCCACTTGGAACGAACTAATAACATTTTTTTCGTTTTCGGCCGTCACAAACTTGAAGTTTTGGATCACGAGTACATATCTTACGACACGCTCTATTACTACTGACAGTCGCGTGCCATCATCTTTTGCATCATCGTTCCCACGAAAGAATCGAACCGATACAATGCCYATGTCTTCCTCGCCACACTGTTTTGGCGTTGCGAGTGTTTCTCCAGTGCAGCCACAATTTGATTTTGAAACAAATTTAAGTTAACACCATGATCTCATCATCTAGCAAACGCCAAATGGCGCTCCTAGGATTCCTTTATTGGTCCTCGACTGTGCAAGGATTCACAGTTCCAAACAGTCGGCATCTCCCAGCTTTCGCCGCAAACAATGCTGCTGCTGTGATCGCGACCACGAGGTGTAGCAGCAGCTTGGCCATGTCTGACTTCGACTTCCCATCTGCTATGCCGGAGAAGCCTCAGCAGACGCTCGACGAAAAACTGAACGAATCTGCCGACGACTTCATCATCAACATGGAMGATGCTTTGGTCGATAAATCCACCGCTCCTCCGGAGCTCGAGGCACTACGAGAGGCCCGCAAGGCAAACGCTCCCCCTGACGAACTTGCAATCAAGATCTACAGCTTGATGATCGAACGAGCGATGAGATTCGAYGTCGATCCCGATACTGGCGCCCTGACTCCAACAGGATTCGACATCCCAAACAATTTGGAAGTTCCCGAAGTCAAAAAAGAATTCAGCCATCTTTACTCGTACGGAATGATGCTTATGAATAAGGGACTGCTGAAGGCAGACGTTCTRAAAGAAATTGTGATCGAGAGGCTCATCGAGCGAACTGGTTTGACTCCAGAAGAATTCGACAAATGGTTGGGTTATTGAACATAAATCGCTGTTCATCCAGAATTTATTGATCACATATCATTCRTTGTATTGTACAGTAATTTACAGTAATATTTTTTACCAATACTTAATGTAATAGTACGGGAGTCCCTTGGAGATATACAAATTATTGTAATTGAATTATTTGTTGAAAAGACAATTCAATGAGCAACGTTGAAAATTATTCATCCGTGAGCGTTCGCATCTTTCAAAAAGGATTCGAAGTGAAAGGTGCTGCTGCCATACGTATCAATTGCTHCGCTTCATTTTTTGGATGGATTCCTCGAGTCGCTGCGTTGACAAGTTCGGATTCAAGGTATCGTTCAGATCGGCACAGGCTTCATTCGGCCTTTTTCTCTACGCTTTCATCTGTTGCGATCTATTGTACTCGACGCCATCAATGTCAATTCGAGCTCCAAAGCATTACCTCAATAATGAAAACATTGGTGCTCTGAAGTATGCTGTCGTCGTCTGCACTATGGTTTGACCAAATTTTGCACGTTTGGRTTTTCTTCGAAGCATCTACATACTAAGTTTGGTGAATCGATCACGGATGTC